CCTCCTTCCCCCCCTCTCCTCCTCCTCCTCTGCACCCTCCTACTCCTCCTCCTCCTCCTCCTCCTCCTTCCCCCTCCTCCTCCGCCCCTCATCCCTCCTCCTCTCCTCCTCCTCCTCCTCCTCCTCCTCCTCCTCCCTCCTCCTCCTCCTCCTCCTCCTCCCCCCTCCCCCCTCCCCCTCGCCCCTCCCGCCCTCCTCCCTCCTCCCTCCTCCCTCCTCCTCCTCCTCCTCCTCTCCTCCTCCTCCTCCCTCCTCCTCCTCCCTCCTCCCTCCTCCTCCATCCTCCTCCCTCCATCCCTCCTCCCTCCTGCCCCCTCCCTCCTCCCTCTCCTCCCTCCTCCCTCCTCCCTCCTCCCCTCCCTCCTCCCTCTCCCTCCCCTCCCCTCCTCCCTCCTCCTCCTCCTCCGCCTCCTCCTCCTCCTCTCCTCCTCCTCCTCCTCCTCCTCCTCCTCGTACGCCGAGAACTGCAAGGCCGACGGCAAGGACCACCAGCACGGCCCCCCCTGGCCGCACGTGTTCAAGGCGTTCATCAAGTGCAGCACGGACGGGGCCAACACGACTCCAGCGGCAGCGCAGACGGTGTTCCAGGACTACTGGCGGAAGGTCATCCTCGCCCCGTCGGCGCTCGAGACACTGGCGATCCACTGCCGCCACTTCCGACTCAAAGCCTGCTGGTACGACAAGAAGAAGCTCTCCAAGCCCGACAGGTTCAAGCTCCAGATCATGCTCGGAATCCCGCAACAGGCGAACCCATGGGGCGACGGCGCAGCTTCCCTGATGGAGGCGGTTCAGCAGACGGTCATGGCGGCAGGCACAGACAAGAAGGACCAGACCGTGCGCTTTCTCCCTGGGGCGCCGCCGAGAGGCGGCTTGGAACGCGAGGCCTCGAAGCTGCTGGCGCAGCTGGGGATGAAGGACAAACCAGCAGCGGCGCCCGACGACAGGGACAAGGACGAAGACGAGCTCTGAGTCGACCAGCTCGCTTCAGGCTGCAATCCGTTAATGGCTCACGCCGCACCGCTGAGCTGTACCTCCAGGGCCGCCTCCCAGACGGAACCCTCCTCGCCCTCCAGGCTCGGACCCTCTCCCCGATCCTCGAGTACTCGGATGGGGCCCTGGAGGTTAGACTTTTCTTTAGGACCCCCCCCATTCAGGCCTCCTTCGGCGCCGAGACGCTTCAGAGGCTTTCGGAGGCCTCCCGCCAGCTTCGGCTGGCTTCGAGCTCCTGGGGCGAGGGCCGTCTCTCGGGTTCCCTGCGGACCTCGGACGTCTGGGCCGTGCCGCGCCGCGTTGAGGAGGGCTGAATGGGGTTGTGCTGGGGTCGGTTTAATGCGTCGCCGTCCCTCGGCCCTGTTCAGTGGAGGGAGTGCATAGGCGAGCCCCCTAGGAGTTCCCGATAAGGGGGTCTCGTTCGTATGCCAGTGGTATCCCCCTGCAGGGCCCCACAGAATCTCGGGCCCCTCAAGCGGTTCTCGAACGCCTGATCCGTTTTTTGTTTTCCTTGTGGGCCTGCAGGGTGCGGTTGTCTCAAGGCGATTGACTTCATCGGATCATCGGCGCTGCTCTGCTCTGCTCTGCTCTGCTCTGCTCCTCCTCCTCCTCCTCCTCCTCTCCTCCTCCACCTCCTCCTCCTCTCCTCCTCCTCCTCCTCCTCCTCCTCCTCCTCCTCCTCCTCCTCCTCCTCCTCCTCCTCCTCCTCCTCTCCTCGCTCCTCGCTCCTCGCTCCTGGCTCCTCCCCCTCCCCCTCCCCCCTCCCCCCTCCCCCCCCCCCCTCCTCCCTCCTCCCTCCTCCCTCCTCCCTCCTACCCTCCTCCCTCGCCCTCCTCGCCTCCTCGCCTCCTCCCTCCTCTCCGCCTCCCTCCCTCCCTCCTCCTCCTCCGCCTCCTCTCCGATCCCTCCTCCCTCCTCCCTCTCCCGTCCTCGCCTCACTCCCTCCTCCCTCCTCGCCTTCCCTCCCTCCTCCTCCTCCCTCCTCGCCTCCTCCCTCCTCCCTCCTCCTCCTCCTCTTGCCTCCTCCTCCTCTCCTCCTCCTCATCCTCCTCCTCCTCCTCCTCCTCCCGCCCCTGGCATCCGGGCGCTGCAATTTTGTTCCGTTCGGGGCGCTCTTGCGCCTCCTAGGGCCATCGCAGCTCGACCCGGCTCGAATCGTAGTGCCGCAGGGAGCTGGGGTCTGGGGTTTCGGCCTGAGACGCTCCTCCTCCTTCTCCTCCTCCTCCTCCTCCTCCTCCTCCTCCTCCTCCTCGGGTGTGAGGAGGGGGGGTCTGGGGCTTCGGCTGTGCTCCTCCGCGATGCCACAGCCTCCTCGCAGCGTCGGGCCCCGGGGAGCCCCTGCAGGAAGGCGGCAGCGGCGGGCACGTGACGGCCTCGGCTGGACTGGCGCGCGGCCTCCATCTTCAGGTGTCGGAAACAATTAAGCAACACTCATGCAGAACATCTGGTTTGAACCTCCCCCCCTCCCCCAAATGCAACGTTGGTTTCGGCTCTTCCGATTTGGGGCCTCCGAGCGGTCTTGCGAAAGCCTGCCAGCTTTGAGTTGCGGGGGAAGGGGGAGCGTTGCTTAATTGTTTCCCTCAACCGTTGCACCGGGCCCCTCTGGGCCTGACTGTTGCCCACCAGCTGCTGCTGCCGCTCTGGTGGCGCATGGCGGCGCGTCGCGGCGTGCGCTTCAGGGAGGCGCCCCAGTGGGTGGCGCTGCATGGCCTCCCTGGGCTCCTCCAGTGAGCATATGCCCCGTCGTCGAGGCCGCGGTGGCAGCTGCTGGCAAAGGTAGCCCGCCGTGCGGCATTCTTGCTTCGTCCCGGCTCCCTCGATCTCTTTCTCTCCACTGCACCCTCATTTCTCCTTTGAATGCATGGCGTATTAAGTAGCTTGGGCGCGGAGCGCTTGTTGCTCTAATCCAGCGTTTGCCTCGCTTCGGCGCGCAAGTCAGCAGCGACCTCGATGCCGCGGGAAGTTCGCTCATTATTGCGCAAGGGGCCCGAATAAACGGACGGAGTCTGAAGCACTCGAGCAGTGGCAAAGTGCGATTGCAAATAGCTGTTCCATCTGTGTGCAAGCGAGTAGATTGTCACAGTGTGATTTGCAAAAATCTCGGACGCTCTGACTTCGTCTGAGGCTCCCTCTGCAAGGTGGTCGCCCTGCCGCCTTGCCGTGGCCCCTGCTGCGTCTCGCGTAGTTTCGAGCAGTTGCTGTGTTGAGAGGCCAGAACTTGCACGGGGGCGGGGAGTACACAGGAGGCATCTATACACCACCACCGTGCCAAGCCAGGGTCATTCTGGCCCTGGCACGGTGTATACGCCCTCTTGGCCGAGGCCAGGAGGGTCTATACACCATCCCAGGGCCCAGGATGGCCCTGGCCTGGCACGGTGGTGGTGTGTAGACGCCTTCGTCGGAGGGAGGTGAGGAGTGGCGGCTGGTGAAGTGAGCCTGACGGCGATGCGATGCAGAGGGGATGCGCAGGAAATGTGTTTGGCCGCAGCGCCACGGGTCGCACAGCGCGGCCGGAGCCCACGCCGGGCCGCTGCAGGGCAGGATGCGCACACGCGGGCGGGAGAGAGAGGAGGGCGGCCGCGGAGGAGGGATCGGCTAGACGTAAGGAGTGACCCTTCGCCGGAGTGACCCGTGGTGCGGGCCCATTGTGGTCCCCGATCGCCGAACGCGATGCGATGCGACGCGACGCGATGCGCCGATCACCAAAGGTCACTCTCACCCAGGGTCACTCTGGCGTGCAGCCGAGAGGCGGAGATGCGCAGGAAGCGTGAGAACAAGGCGATGTGGATGAGGCAGTGGGGACATGCCGCGTGAGGGGGAGCCGGGAAAGGGCAGGAGGCTGGAAGGAACGTGCGGCTTCGCTGTCGGGGGCATATCGCCAGTCTAGCGGCGATGTGTCGCCGATCCCAGCTCGGTGCTCCCCTCCGAGCTGGTTCCCCTCCGAGAGGTTGCCCCGGAACTCTGGGCCTCGCTGCCGCACCTCAGCTGCTGCCGTTCCCGTGGCGCGCTCCGCCGCCCCATAGTCTTGGTATCGCTCGGACGTGTGCACTCTTTCTCGGCGGGGATTATTGAGGAGCATCCTGGATCATCCTGCGAAGAAGCCACGCACGAAGCCGAAAAGAGCACAGAGAATGGACGTCCGAGCGACGGGGAGTAGTACCCCATGGCGTGCATCTCGGGGGCACGCCCCACAGCGGGTGGCGGTGCATGGCCACTGGCCTCTTCTGGAAGGGGAAGGATACGGCCCCGACTCTGGATCCGCCTCTTTGGGCGGATTGGCAGGTAGGATGGAAATTCCTGCCGCGCTCTGCAAGCTCCTTGCGTGCCGACTTCCGCCCCACTCTGCCGCCGCTGTCTCCTCCATATCTTTTCAGAAGGAGCCGCCCTACCTTTTCCGAGGCGGGAAGTTCCGCTCTCTTGTTTCGCATCGTTCGGGGTGCATTTCAGGTACGTTTCTAACGCTATGATTTGCACTGTCGAATGGTTGGTCAGGCCGCGGTTCAGGGCACGAGTTTGCTTATTGCAGGCCAGCTTGTGCGGTGTTCCCGGTTGGCCAAGCGACCTTTTGGTTATCACTGGGGTCTTGTGCGTCTAGAAGCACGCGGGTCTTGTGCGCCTCAACAAAAAGCGTGGGCCTAGACAAACGTGGGTCCTAGCCCGTTGTGGCACCCGTGGGCCTCGTGCGTCTCGAAGACGACCTGTGTCTGAGTGGCCCGAGCAAGTCAACCAAAGTGCGGCTTCCCCTCCGCGCCGAGGCGCCGCTCGTGGGGGGCCGCCCCGCCCGGGCAGGCGCGCCGGGATGGAGGAGGAAAGAGGAAGAGGAGGAGGAGGAGGAGGAGGCGGAGGAGGAGGAGGAAAGCGAGGAAAAGCGGAGGAGGAGGAGGAGGAGGAGGAGGAGGAGGAGGAGAGGGGGAGGAGGAGGAGGGGGAGGAGGAGGAGGGAGGAGGAGGAGGAGGAGGAGGAGGAGTCGGCGGAGGGGCCCCCGGCCGCGGGGGAGGGTCGCCCCGCAGGAGGAGGCCCGGAGCGGGCAGTGGCGGGTCCCCGGCGCGGCCGCGGCCCAGGCGGGGGGCCGCGCGCCCCGAGGCGTGCCACGGCCCCTCGGTTTCAAGCAGGAGGAGGAGGGGGGAGAGGGGAGGAGGGAGGAGGGGAGGAGGAGGAGGAGAGAGGGGAAGAGGAGGAGGAGCAGGAGGAGGAAGAGGAGGATGGGGGAAGAAGGAGGATAGAGAGGAGGAGGGAAGAAGGAAGAGAAGAAGGAAGAGGGAGGGGGAAGAAGGAGAGGAGGAGGAGGAGGAGGAGGAGGAGGAGGGGAAGAAGGAGGAGGAGGAGGAGGAGGAGGAGGAGGAGGAGGAGGAGGAGGGGGAGCAGGAGGAGCGGAGAGGCACCGTGCGGCTCGTGCGGGCGTGTGCGCGCGCGAGGCCTCGGCCCGACCTCAGAGAACGAGAACACGATCACAGAACCTATCGCTACAGAAATTTGCGCAGCGCAGTGGATCGCCTATAGCCCTACCAAACAATATTATAAGAACCTTCTGTGGTTGCCACGAAATGTTCTTGGAACATGTCTGGTTGAGATTGTCTTGCTTTGACACATCGGGTTTATGTTCTAATAACCTTGTTTCTTGTTATCAGAACACTGCTGCGTTCTAGGAACATGTCGTGGTAGGACTACAGGAATGCTGGGACGGTCGGTCCCTGCTCAATTGGTATCGCTCGGACGTGTGCACTTTCTCTCGGCGGGGATTATTGGGGAGCATCCTGGATCATCCTGCGAAGAATCCACGCACGAAACCGAAAAGAACACAGGGAATGGACGTCCGAACGACGAGGAGGCCCTCGACGGCCATTCGCTGCACTGTGCGGCCTGGAGGTATTCGGATCGAGGCTTCCAGGTCGAGGGTCGGTGTGGTTCGAGGTTTCTTAGAGCGACGCTGTTCCAGGTTTTCGGACGTTCTCTGTCTGCGACTCTCCAGCCTCGGGATGGTGTCCTGCAGCTGCGCCTCGCCGAGGGCGTTCCTGGGGTGCCCAGATTGCCCCGAACGGCCGCTGGAGAGCCGAGTTATGACCCGGAAGCCAAGGGGGATACGGTCAGGAACTTGAGCTCAGCCAGGTGTCGGAAACAATTAAGCAACACTCATGCAGAACATATGGTTTGAACCTCCCCCCCCTCCCCCCAAATGCAATGTTGGTTTCGGATCTTCCGATTTTGGACCTCCGAGCGGTCTTGCGAAAACCTGTTGCGGGGGAGGGGGGGAGCGTTGCTGAATTGTTTCCCTCAACCGGCGTGCCGCTCTGCCGGTTCTGGCCCAGCACGCCACCGCGCCTCGGCGGGACACGCCATCCACAGCCCCACTCCCAAGCGTCAACGTCCACAGCCGTTCCCAGCATCCCGCCCCACGGAGCGGAGCGACACGCCATCAGCTTCCAGGGCATGGCGTGCGCAGCTGGGGCCGCCGCCACAACACGCTGAGCAAAAGAGCCCGACCGTGCTTGCTCGAACCCGGCGTTCTGCCTTGACTTCGGCCCACGGGGGTCGTTTTCCGATCCCGGGGCCATCAAGTACGGATCCAGGGAAGAGGTCGGGATCTCTTTGGGGCTGCGCACTGGGAAAACACGTCGTCGGATGTCTGGGTTCAGATTGCCGTTGGGGTGGCGGCGGGGCATCGTGCCCAGACGCTGGATGTTATGGGCACGCGGACTTCCACCAGTTCGCCCGCTTCGCATTTCCAGTCGGGGGAGGTGCCCGCGCCACCGGCCAGAGCTCGGCGAGAGTTTCAAACCGCGGTGTTCGTGCACCAGTCGGTCTTCACGCTGCCGGGTCGCGGCCCGAGGAATCGGACCGTGCCCAGATGTGTGTTCCTAAGTATCTTTGTGGTTGTCTTGCGTTCTGAGCAGTGCAGTTGCTGCTCTTCTCTCCCTCCTCTCCTACAGCCTCTTCCTCCTTTCCCTTTCTCAGCTCACTCTCCGCGTCTCCCAGATCTCTCTACTCGAACAAAAAGCGACATAAACATAATTCATCTGAGATCCTCGCGGATTCCTTGGATCAGCGCTCGGCCCCCCTGGCAGCGCCTCCGGCGCAAGCCTTGGCGCGCTCCGCGCGCCACGGGGGCGGGGTCCAGCGCTGATCCCAGAAAGCCGCCAGGACATCCGAGAAATTATGATTTGCCGTTTCGTATTCCTTTGCCGTTGCCTTCGTCACGGGCCTCGGAAAAATCAGCGAACACTCATGCCAGATCCATCTGTCATTGACCCCCCCCTCTCCCCCCAATCAACAAAGCCAGCGGTGGCTCCGACGGGTTGCACGTCGATTGCTGTCTTTTTTTGCGCGTGCCCATGAATTCTGACGAATTCCAGGGGAGGGGAGGGGGGGGCGCAGCGGTTGCCTCGCCGCCCTCCCCCCGTCCCGCTCTCCTGGGCGCGCGCGGCCAAGCCCGCTCGGCAGGTGCCCTGCACCTGCACGGCCGAGTGGGACCCCGTGTGTGGCGTGGACGGCCAGACGTACAGCAACCCCTGCGCGGCAGGCGAGCGGGGAGGCGGAGGGAGGGGACGGAGGAGGAGGAGGAGGAGGAGGAGGAGGAGGAGGAGGGGGAACAGGAGGAGAGAGAGGAGGCGGGGAGAGAATGAGATCAGGAAGGTTGAGAGCCGAGGTTTCTAGAGTGCTTGCACTCAGGGCGGAGGAGGAGGAGGAGGAGGGAGGATGAGAGGAGGGAGGAGGGAGGAGAGGAGCCAGGAGCAGGAGCAGGAGGAGGCGGGGGAGAGGAGGATGAGGAGAGAGGGAGGTGAGGAGGAGGAGGTGGAGGAGGAGGAGGGGAGGAGGAAGAGGAGGAGGAGGAGGGGGGAGGAGGGAGGAGGAGGAGGAAGGAGGGGAGGGAGGAGGAGCACGAGGAGGAGCACGAGGAGGAGCACGAGGAGGAGGAGGAGGAGGAGGAGGAGGAGGAGGGGGAGGGGGAGGGGGAGGATTACCAAGCTCGCTATTGGCTTAAAGGGTGCCTGGACTCATCTTTGGAGATGAAGCGAGAATCGGAGAAGTACTGGGGGTTGGGTAGTTTACGGGAGAGCCCGCCACCCCAGAAGCCAATGTATTGACGGCAACACGCCGCATCTTTTGGCCGAAACCAAATGCGCGTGGCCGCGGAGGAGTTAGTCCATCAGTGGTGCGATTGGCCGTGATGGAGCGCGCCCACGGGGAGGATGTATATCCTGATGCCCCGAGGTGGGGTTTGGGGAAGGGGGCCTTCCCGAGTGCCCGAACTGCCGCCCTGGCTGCTCGCTTTCTGTCGGGCGTGTCCCCCTATAGGGGGATCTTCGACGAAAAATAAACAATACCCCGAAAATACCCCCCAAAATGTCAAAATAATACAAAAAAAAACGCTCCCCAGACTGTTTTTTTGAGTATTTTTTATATTATGTTGGAGGTATTTCTTATTTTTCGTCGAAACTCCCCCTGTAAGGGGGACAGGCCCGACCTAATGCTCGCTCCTGCGGGCGACCTGGTCCGGGGAGGGCCCAGCCCAGCGCCTCCCCCCCGTGGCTCCCGCGCCCGCGCTTCCTGTGATGCCCAGGAGGGAAAAAACACACAGACACGATGAATCCTCGACTCCCCAGAAAATATGGGAAAATATGGGAACTGGGGGGGGGGAAGGCAGAAACCCAGAAAATATTGGAAAATTGGGGAATCTTTTTATTTGTGTGTATTCATTTGTGTGCCCTGGGGCCCCTTCAGATGCGCGGACGTCGGCGTTGTCCCGACGACTTCTCGGTGGGCCGGGGGCAGCGCAGGCCCTGGGCACGGCGGGGACGCCGCCCCGGCCTCTGGCCCCGCGGGCAGGGCGAGCTGTGGGCCAAGCCTTGGAGCAATTTTAAGTCGGGCCTGTCCCCCTACAGGGGTATTTTCGACGAGCAAAAAAAATACCCCCAAAGTAGTCGAATCCAAAAATAGCCTGGGGACTATTTTGGGGGTATGTTTTGACCTTTTGGGGGTATTTTGGGGGTATCTTTAATTTTTCGTCGAAAATCCCCCTGTATGGGGGACAGGCCCGACTTAAGAGCAATGCATGTCCTCGAGGGGCCCCGTGGCTTCGCGTGGGGTTAGGCTGCTTGGGGCCCCATCCCGAGCGGCCCCCTTCCCGGCCTGCGGCGCCCCTGCGGCGCACCCCGACGGCAAGAGGGGCGTGCCCGCAGGAGGCACGGAGGGACCGCCTCCCAAACCGCTGACGTCGTGATTTTTGTCAATGCGTTGGCTCTCTGGGCTTCTTGGCAAGGGCCCCTTCCCGAACAGCCCCCTCCTGGCCTGCGGCGCCCCGGCGGCGCACCCCAACGGCAAGAGGGGCGTGCCGACAGGAGGTATGGAGGGACCGCCTCCCAAACCTCCAGCGTCGTGACTTTTTCAGTACGGGGTCCCCCAGAGTCTCGCCCCTTTCCCCGGGACCGGTTTTTCATCCCGAGTCGTTTTTTGACGGTCCCGGGGCCCGGGGAGGGCCCCTAGAGGCCGAAAATTGCGAAAAACGTCCGTCTTGATTTTTCAATACGTTGGATCTCTGGGCTCTTGGCCTGTGGTTCACTCCTTTCCTCAGGGGAGGTCTTTGCCCCCATGGGTACTGGGGCAGCCGCGGTGGGGTCTAACTTTAGGTCGGGCGTGTCACCCTACAGGGCGATGTTCGACGAAAAAAAAAACATACCCCAAAAATACCCCTCAAAGGTCAACAAAGATTCGAAAAATAGGCCCCATATTATTTCTGGATTATTTTGGGGGTATTTCTTATTTTTCGTCGAAAATCCCCCTGTAGGGGGACAGGCCCGACCTAAGTCTAACCTCGATCGGGGGGGTCACAGGGCCCGTGCTGGCACGGCCCCGGGCATGCGGCGCCCCAGCGACGCACCCCAGCAGCAGGTTTAGGGTTTCGGGTTTAGGGTTTAGGGTCTACAAGCTCTGCCGCAGCTGATCACCTCCTGCCTAGGAGCCCACCTGCGGTGGCTGCCAGTCCCACCCGCAAACCACCCTACCATAAAGAACTTTCGGGGACCTAAAGAGCACTTCCTTGTTAAGGAAAGTCTCATAGGTGTATGAACGTCAGGAAATAGTATTTTGTTGCAAGGGATGGCGAGGGTTTACAGCACGCATGATCAGGAAATAGTATTTCGTTGCAAGGGATGGCGAGGGTTTACAGCACGCATGATCAGGACATAGTAGTTGTTGCATCGGATGGCGAGGGTTTACATGGCCAGGTCGTATGTTAGCGTATGTTCCCGTATGTACCCGTTTGTTCGGTGTTCAGGGTTTAGTAATTAGAGGATTAAGAATTTAGGGTTTAAGCGCAGGCCAGCTGGAAGGAGGGGTTGGAGGGAGTCCGATTCGCAGATGGAGATCAACTCGATGCCGATTCGAGTTCGAGCCGATTCGATTTCGGTCCGATGCGTCCGGATATCCGAGGGCGCTTCCCTCGTTATCCTCGTGTGTGCGCTGTGCGTGCGGGATGTCTTTGCCTCCTCTCCCCCATCCTCCTCGTTCCCCTTTTCCTTTATTACGGGGCGTGAAAACGACCACAACCACTGCTTTTCTTTTGATGCCGCCTTCCAGCCCGCAGCAACAAAGCAGTGGTTGTGGTCATTTTCGTTGAGCTTGGCACCAGGGAAATGACCACAACCACTGCTTCTTTTTCGGGCGGCTGGAAGGCGGCGCAAACAAGAAGCAGTGGCTGTGGTGGTCATTTTCCCGTCCCGCATTTCTCCTTCAAGTCAGGGCTGCTCGCTGTTCGATCGGCCCCGTTGGCATCGATTGGCTCGGCCCCTTCGGCTTCTGCGTGGCCGCTGTTCGTGTGCCTGTTGGCCGCTTGGGCTGACTCGGCCTCGCCTCGTTCGGGGCCCGCGGGCGCCTCGCGCCTCGGGCAGGCACCGCGCGTAGTCGTCGCCGGATGCGCGGCAGGCGGCACCCAGAAAAAATGCCTTCTCTGGTTCGGGGGAGTGCTTCCTGGCCGCCTGGTGCCCGGAAGTCCCCCGGCGGCTCCGGAAGCTTGAAGGGCAGCAGAGAAGCAGTTTTTCGGGCCTCGAGGAATCGACCATCGATTTATCTCGAGGAATCGATTGTCGATTCGACAATCGAAAAATCGACAAATCGATTTCTCGAGAAATCGACAATCGAGAAATCGACAATCGACAATCGGTTTCTGGAGACCTGGGAAGTCGCAGCAGTCGCCCGGAGGCCACGGGAGCAGCGGAAGCAAGGCGCTGGGCCTCGGGCCACTTCTGCTCGGCCTCCGGGCCCCCTGGAGGCCTGGGGGGCAACAGCGCCAATTGCTTGCGCCCCGTGAAAGATCGTCGGCTTCCGGGAGTCCCGGAGGTCTGGGAGGTGGCAGAAACAAGATCCTGGGCCTCGAAGGATGGATTCTCGCCTTCGGGGCCCCCGGGAGGCCCGGAAGGTCTTGGCCTCGAAAACTAGGTGCTCGGTTTTCGGGGCCACCTGGAGGCTTGGGAGGCAGCAGACATGACTCTTCGGGCCTCGAAGCATTGATTTCCAACCATCGGGCCCGCCAGGTTCCTGGGAGGCAGCAGATGCAGTTCCCTGGGCCTCGAAAGATTGATTTTCGGCCTCTGAGCCCCCCGAGGAGCCCCGAGGCACGCAGCAGGAACAAGTGCTTGGACCTCCAACGAAAAATCGATGTTCGGTTTCCGGGCCCCCCGGAGACCTGGGAGGGGGCAGAAACGACATTTGGGGTCCTGGGCCTCGACGGATCGATTGTCGGCCTCTGGGCCTCCCGGGAGGCAGCAGCAACGATTCCTCGGGCCTCGAAGACTTGATCTGCGGCTTCCGGGCCCCCCGGAGACCTGGGAGGCAGCAGCAACAATGTGGTGGGCCTCGAGAAGGATTGATCTTCGGCGTCCGGGCCCCCGGAGGCCTGGGAGGCCGCAGGAAGAAATGCTCCGGGCCTCGAGGAATTGGTTCTCAACCTCCTGGAGGCCTGGGAGGCGGCTGCATAGGCCCCCAGAAGCTTGGGGAGGCAGCAGAAACAGTGTTTCGAGCCTCGACAGAAAGTTTTAAACGGTGCCCCGAGGCCTGGGGGGCAGCAGTCGGCTTCCAGAGGCCTGGGAGGGAGGGAAAAGAGGAGGCGAAGGAGGAGGAAGAGGAGCAGGAAGAGGAGGGGGAAGAGGAGGAGGGGGGGGAGCAGGAGAAGGAAGAGGAGGAGGGGAAAGAAGGAGGAGGAGGAGGAGGATGAGGAGGGGGAACAGGAGGAGGGGAGGAGGAGGAGGAGGAGGAGGAGGAGGAGGAGGAGGAGGAGGAGGAGGAGGAGGAGGAGGAGGAGGAGGAGGGGGAAGAGGAGGAGGGGGGAGCAGGAGGAGGAAGAGGAGGAGGGGAAGAAGGAGGAAGAGGATCAGGAGGAGGAGGAGGGGGAACAGGAGGAGGAGGGGGGGAAGAGGAGGAGGGGGGGGAGCAGGAGGAGGAAGAGGAGGAGGGGAAGAAGGAGGAGGAGAGGAGGAGGAGTGTGTGGCCTCGGCCCGACTTCAGAAAACGAAAACGATCACAGAA